GTCAGCCACCGGTGGCTGACAAGCTCTCACTCGGGACAATGGTATTACTGTGGCTGCAGGGCTTGAAATGGAATTTGGAAAGTTTTCTTCCATGAAAGAATCTTCATACCCTCGCTCATCTACGCCAGCCCTGGGCAGAGGAAATCTCCCTCCACTCGAATTTTATTGAAGAAAAATCTCCTGACGCTGCTGCTATTGCGCAATCCTGCGCGGTCGCGAATGGGTTAAAATGTCTTTGGCTAACATAGCTATGTGCGGTTATATTTTATTGCAGTAGCTTTGCTATGGTTTGTTAATGAAACCTCAATTTCCTCTATGCTTTGAAAGAACTATGATATAGTTAAAGGATAAAGCATTTGCCGTTGATCAATCCCTTTTGGGATGCGGCACGCATTCTACTTCCATTTGTACATTCGTAGTGGCGTTTGAATGCGATGTGGCCTATACAATGACTTGCGGGGGCCAGCCGATGTACAAGTCAGTGTTTTTATCCCAGACAAGTCTGGTACCAATTAACCGACCCCGGAGGGATGGAAGGCTTGGTTGGCCCGGGCGACTCACGACCCAGGATTTGATCCCCGGACCGCTCGCGTGGTAAGCGCGCCACTTGCACTGCACCACTTCCGCCCTTCATCTTCGAGCTGCTCTGATTGTGAGCTGCGATATCCCTTTGTCTTCTAGTGAGAAAAGAATCTCGAAGAGGTACAGTGTAAGAGTGAATTCATCCTTTCTATTTAGTGTTCTTGCACACAGTCGTATAAATGTGTTTCATGTCGTGATGCCTTACTTTTGTGCTTAAGCTCTTATTTTCGACGTATTAAATGGTAAGATTTATGCAAGCGGTTGTCGGTTTTAAACAGCAGTATTTCAGAATGACGCTGTCGTGTTTTACGACGAATTTAATGGGACGCAGTTCAATAGCTTGGAACCAAACCGGTGTAGATTGCTGTTTGTGGACAAGATCGAATGTGTACGTTTCAACCATTTTGAATTAAGTATGAAATGTAATGTTGTATTTGTATGACTCGACGACTGTTGCTTCTTTGTCTGAGTCAGCTGATTGCACGTTGTAACGTTCTAGAAAAAGATTGTAGCGTAGACCAAAGTTGAGCTGCACCGGAATCAGTGGAGTTAAGGGGTTTAGTTACACATACGAAAAGAGGTATGAGTAGGGGTGAAGGGGGGGGGGGGTCAAGGGCAAGCAAGTTGTCATATCATAAACGGAAGTGTGTGAGCCCAAAGGTGCGATTTTTCTGCAGCTAAAGCACATCATTGAGTCAAAGGATAGTAGCGGGAATAGGGCGGCCGCAAAAACGGTCGGGCGTGAAAGCTTGGAAGGGCGCAAGACGTAGTGTTGAGCAAGCAGGGTGCTTCCGGCATAGATCGACCTTCATGAAATGTTTACTAATGCTCTGAAACTTACTTTGTACTACTTAGTTGTTGAAGCAATGTATTTGATGATTTTGATGTCAGGCGTCCGAAGGACGAAGTAGCAACACTGTGCTCGAGTTCGGCGACGTCAAGTGATGGAGCTGGTTCATCAACCTGCCTCACTGAACTGCCCACATGTGCTGTGTGTTTGGAACGCATGGATGATAGCGTAGTTTCCATCCTTTGCAATCATACGTTTCATGCTGGCTGCATTGAACAGTGGACTGACACCACGTGAGTACTCGACAACTGCATTTTCTAGATTAAGATGGGCAAAATAGCCCTTTGAAATGAAGTCAAAGAAATGCTCTCGTTTGAAGACCGTCTTCCTAAGAGTAAGTTCTGTTATTGTAGGTGTCCGGTATGTCGTTACATTCAAACCCCGGAACTTGTGGCCGAGCAACGCTGTTCAATTTGTGGACAAAGTTCGGACCTGTGGATATGTCTCATTTGTGGGAATATTGGTTGTGGTCGTTATGCTGAGGGACATGCCTACAGGTTGAGATTGGTCTATTCCAGCACCGTGTGTTTGTCCACTCGATTGGCGGAAACTCCGTTTAAATATGCACCTACAGTCACACCCGGCCTGGGAACAGACTAACTTACTATCGTACGAATACAAACGACACGGGGATGAGTAAACGCTGCCGTGGAAATCTTTATCCAACGGCAGAAGCTTGCACTGAACATACAGACTTTTATCTTTCGGCAACATTTCTTCGTTAATAACGCATCGTGTTTCCAGGGTTCTTCACCTTCCACTGACCAGAGACTCTCAAGTCCTGTTCTTCGCCTACATTGTCGGTGATACTTGGGAAACTCGCGAAAAAGTCTGTTTTAACGTAACAACATGTTTTGTTCGAGCAAATATAGCTTCACGCATCTAGAGATGGGCTTTCCACTCTGCGCAGGTCCTTCTATTTACAGGCTACTCTTGGGGGCTTTTACGCATATCACAAACTAGGGCTGGGATTCCAGGATTTATCGTGACGCACAATGTGTGAAAAGCAGCACTATACAGGGAATCTACCTAGGATCGAGAATAAGGCAGTGCAAAAAATCAAGACCCTATTCAAAACGTTATACGTGTGAGTGCTGACAAGCTATGGTACGTATACCATGAGAAGCTGAATTGGTATGAAATGGTGCCCCGGTGAGCAGGGTCAACCCTACGTTGTTACGAGTAACAACGGGGGGGTCGTACTCAGTTGAGCTTGGAGGGAGGGGGGTCGTACCCTCTCGGTGGCCGACAGTGGGATTCTTGGTAATATCGGATAATAGCCAGCACGTTACGTTTTCGTAAGATGACTGATACAGCATCTATAAACCACGATTCCCTCTAAATGAGCTTTCAAATGAATCAGCGAATTAGAAGGGCGCCCGAGGCGTGGCGCGCGCACCAAGGCAAGGGATGTAGTGCAAGCGCATGCTCGGAGCTTTCTAGCAGATCCTTAATTAAACATAAAATTGGTCTTCCAAGAAGTTACGGGCAGTGAAACCTAAGAAAACTCGCGTTTTCGAGAAAATGGCTTGAAGAATACCCCACAAAAAAAAAGTAACAACGGGCTAATTTTTGAACTGCTGATCTTTCAGAAACGCTTGGGTGCTCGTTAGAAAGCTTGAAACCTGTGGTTTATTACACCGTGTTCAGCTTCCCAAATGAATGACTTTGAAGGAAGTTATGATCGTTTGAAGGTCAAAAAGTCGCGGTTCCAAAAAAATAGTAACGCAAACCCCCAAAAAAGTAACAACGGGACTAATTTTTGAACTACTGATCTTTCAGGAACGCTTGGGTGCTCCTTAGAAAGCTTGAATCCTGTAGTTTATTATACGTGTTCAGCTTCCCAAATGAATGACTTTGAAGGAAGTTATGATCGTTTGAAGGTCAAAAAGTCGCTTTTGCACAGAAAAAAGTAACAACGTACTAAATTTTTATTAAATTAACTTTCGAAGAATTTTTACCCATGGTTGGAGAGAGAATAATTTGAATTTTCCAAATCAAATCACTTCGGCGCAGAAGCTCGAATATGAAGGAAGTTATAGCCTTAGAAAGAGGGGTGTAAAAATTGTGTTGCAATTGAAGAACGTGAAGGATTTCAGTATTTCAATTGGAGCGATAATTTTTTCTGACTTCTCATAAGTTTTTATCAGGTAATATTGTCAATATTCCGGTCACTGGTTCAGCTTATTTCATCTCCTAGTTTGGTAACCCTTTGGAGTACACGGATATCTTTGAATGCATCTCATTTTTTCGTGTTTGCAAGCAGCGATGAATTTCTGTCGTGGATTTTGCTAAAGTTTCATCTTTAATGACTTACGTAGAAATAAATATTGATGGTAAACACTGTCTCTACACAAGTGTCACATACAAGGGGGGGGTCGTATCAAATCACCCATGAAGGGGGGGGGTCGTAAAAAATTTCCGAAGAGTAACAACGATAGGGTTGACCCTGCCGCAGCGTAAACTGGAACGCACTTGGAAGGAATTCAAGAAATCCATGAATTCGATC